AGCCCAACTTGATAACCCATTCTTCTATTGACTTCTCTCTCTTCCCTGTTTCACTTTATCCTTATTCCCACTCCCTGGTATCCTATTTCCAATAAAGTTACCTGTAAGCAGGGCTTTATATCGGGCTCTCCTTTCAGTTTAAACAAAGCTTATAAAACTGGCATTTAATATCTTAGATATCAGAATATTGAGGTCAGATCAAGTTTCTCAAAATAAGCTTAGGAGAGTTCTTATTTCTATTCTACTATCAGCTCCCAGAAGCAATCCAGAAGCATCCATACTGGACACCTATGTGCTTATTTATCTAAAGACAGGTATATAGGAAGTGATAGCCCTATGTTAAAATGGATCCCAACTCTGAGTATTTTCAGCTCCTTTCCTACTACCTCCCCAGTATATCACCATCCTCCTTAGTTGAGATGGTCACAGGAAATTCCAACAATTCTCTCTGCCTTCATTCTTTCACTCTTCTCTGATTTGAACATCCTGCAGGTTTCTTTTTACACTATAATCTGACCCTGTAAATCAAATTTTCCACATTTCCCAATTACTTCCCCAAATTAGTAAATGCCAGTTTTCGAAGCTTTGTTTAAACTGAAAGGAGAGCCTGATATAAAGCCTTTAAGTCCCTTAAAAATGAAATTTTTAACAAATCACCCAAACAATAAATGGGAAAAGGAACTGTACAGACACTTCACAAAAGAAGAAATACAATTGATCAACAAATATATGAAAATACATTCAACATCTCTAGCAATTGGAGAACTGCAAATTAAACTCCACTGAGGTTTCATCTCATTCTAGTCAGAATGGCAATTATCAAGAATACAAGTAACAAATGTTGGTAAGGATGTGGGGAAAGGACACACTCATACATTGCTGAAGGGAGTGCCAATTGGGGAAAACACTCTGTAATTTAGTATGGAAATTCCTTAGAAAACTTGGAATGGAACCATCATTTGACCCAGTTATACAACTCCTTGGCCTATACCCACAAGACTTAAAATCAGCTTATTATAGCAACACAGCCACATCAGTGTTCACTGCAACTCAACTCACAATAGCTAAGCTATGGAGCCAACATAGGTGCCCTCAACAGATGAATGGATAAAGAAAATGTGGTATATATAAAAAATGGAATGTTATTCCACCTAAAAGAAGAATGGAACTATGGCATTTGCTGGTAAATGAACAGAACTGGATAATATCATGCTAAGCAAAATAAGCCAATTCCATAGAACCAAAGGCCAAATGTTTTCTCTGATATGCAGATGCTAATTCACAATAAGGGTGGTGGTAGGAAGCCTAGGGAAGAATATAGGTACTTTGGATTAGAAAGACAGGAGTGAAGAGAGGGAAGTGGATATGGGGGTAGAAAGGACAGTAGAATCAATGAGACATTGTTACCCTATGTGTATATATGACTACACAATCAGTGTAACTCTACATCATGTACAACTAGAAGAATGAGAATTTATACTCCAATTTCATATACTATGTCAAAATGCATTCTACTGTGTATAATTAATTACAACAAATTTAAAAATAGGAAAAATTTTAAATTAAAAATAAAATAAAAGGGCTGGGGATGTGGCTCAGTGGTTAAGTGCTCCTGGGTTCAATCCCTGTGTGAAGAAAAAAAAAGCAAATAATTTTTTTAAAGAGAGATAGAGAGAGAAAGAGAGAGAGAGAGAGAGAGAGAGAGAGAGAGAGAGAGAGAGAGAGAGAGAGAGAGA